ATACAGTTATCCTACACCAAACGGGTAGAAGAACAATGGAGTTGAAACCTTGTTGTTGTCCGCGGACGTGTTACCGATAACGCCATTATTTAATTAACGATATATATATCATTCTCTATTAAGTAAAACGACAAGCAGTTCCATTATACGATGATTAATTAGAAATGTTTTAACTGACTTTTTGCAGTGCGTTAAAATATAAATAACACCAATATCTATTATGCAACCGAAAAATGCACCGCATATTGTAGAATAAGGAGCATTTTTTTAATCGTATTCTTTTATGTAAATCAGCTGTGGTCTATCCACTGAAAATTGCAGCGGATAGGGTGTCGTACAACAAGATGAACGAACAAGGCCGTCCATTGTTAGTAATCTTCTACCGATAGACACTGAAAATATAACAATGTATACAAGTCACGAATGAAAGGATGCACTGATACCAGAATATGTAAAATAAACGAATATACGGACGTGATTTGTGTATTTCTCGGTGTCTAACAAATGAATTCTGTGCTGCGGTTTGGATGTTGCCAGCTCGATTGAAGATTTGAATCTGTAATGAAGTCCCTCAGGCAGGCCCACAAACCCCTGGCATCGAGCCATTGACAATCGAATTGAACTAAATAAGTTGAGTCCCAGAAGGTATCGATAAACACATATTACACTAATATAAAATAAACATTAAACCATATAGAAGTTTGGCAACGATCATGATGCAGGAAATGCACGGGCCATATTCGTAGAACGCTGATTGTTAGTATCCGCGCACAAATGCGACAAGTTAATACGCTGAATAAATAAGACAGAGAATAATATCCTCATCTATCATGGAACTAAATTCAAAGCAAAATCCAACCGGCAACAAATACAACTGGGATGACCACAACTACAATAATTACTTTAATGAATGAAAAACTAGAACCCTTAGAGAGGCTAAAAAAACGGCTCACGATTGGAGATTACAAACAATTGGGACCCTCGGGGGCCATCAAGACATCCAAGACGCCATTCGTCGGTTGGCAGTCTGTGAACCAAGTGGGCCTACCCCTGACACAAACAACACACACCCGCAGTAACACATTTGGAAACTATGTGTGTGTGTGTGTGTGTGTGTGTGTGTGTGTGTGTGTGTGTGTGTCGTCGTCGTGTGTGTGTGTGTGCGCGCGCGTGTGTGTGTGTGTGTGTGTGTGTGTGTGTGTGTGTGTGTGTGTGTGTGTGTGTGTGTGTGTGTGTGTGTGTGTGTGTGTGCGTGTGTCCGTAAGCCCGCGTTTGCCATTCCCCCTTGGCATTCTATCTGTGGCGATAGGTTGGCCTAAAACTCACGCGCAGATTTTGTAGAACAAGTACTTCCCTATATGCTTTATTCTTTATTCTCACATAAGGCGGTATGAGGCATTAGTGTACAAGACTGGGTAAACTGTGATATTTAGACAATTACTGTGCTCGTTTGACCTCTCAATTATTATATCGTAAAGTGATGATTTCTTGTCTAAAATTCTTATAATTGTGTGTTTCGCATACATGTTGAAATCGGGAAGTTTGACAATAACATTATAAAGTGCACGCGCCAGCGTAAACACGGAAGGACGTGCATGCGTGTGCGTGCGTGCGCGCGTGCGTGTGTGCGTTCGTACGTGTGTATGTGCGCGTGTGTGTGTGTGTGCGTTCGTACATGTGTGTGTGCGTGCGTGCGTGCGTGCGCGCGTGCGTGCGTGCGTGCGTGCGTGCGTTCGTTTTAGGCCATCTCATCGACGCAATAAAGCGAAACTGTTGCTTAGAAATACAAACATGTACGACGATATCAATTGACGTGTTTCTTCACAAGACAACGAACGCTTTACGACGATGGGGGAATTGTTACCCGGTAAAAGCTAACCCGGCCGAACGATCGCTCAACCATTACGCTATAATCGTGTCAGGACTACACTTTTGTTAATACCACCGCGCCAAAACATAAACGTCTTGTTATGCGCGCGTGTTTGACCCAGTTCTGGCAACAAATGCTTACTTTTCAACGAATCTAGTCTACGCGTGGGGCGATGTGAACGAACGCGGGAGAAACACAGTATTGTTCTTTGTTTCCATTCAGCGATCGATGTTATTATTGAACGTCTCATCAATTATCGCTGAGAACAAGTCAGCGTGACGATTAGTTTACATGAAGACGACGCTGTTATAAGAGCCGCTTGGGTGAATGTAGTCGTAGGCTAACACTTATCTACTTTATTTGGATATCTTAGTGTGAGAGAAGGGACAACGAAATATCACCAACATACGCCAATGAAAACACACCATCGTGCATCACTCTAATAAAAACACAGCCACCAACGCACTCCAATAAAAATACCACCACACTCTATTAGACCATACCCACCGCCGCCACCGCCAACACCACCACCACCACCACCACCAGCAGCAGCAGCAGCAGCACCACCACCACTACCACCACCACCAACAACAATAGCAACAACAATAGCAACAACAACA